AATAGGGTATTCCACTGGGGCTGATTCATAATATGGTCTGTTGCTACCCCTTTAGTCAGGGCTTTTGGCAAATATATAGTTTAGCTCAAAATAAATGGATATTTGTTTACTTTTGCTTTTATGGAGAAATACATATTATTGCCTTCAGTGAATTTTAGTATCTTAAAGCCTGACCCATTATGGTAGTACCATATTTGTTCAATTAAACTACACACCTTTTGCCAAAAAATTCCTCCCCCTAAAATGGGGTGCATGTCTTAACCAGGGAATCTGATTTTCTGCCTGCAATAAAAGCATCCCACTTTGTTCCTGATTATAACAGCGGCATTTTTATTTAACTGGCTGAGGAAATCAGTTGACTTAATGGCTTGTATGGTATTTATGATAGTCTCTCCTATTTAATGGTCCTGATGTTCCACTAATAAAACTAACCTTTCTGCTGGCTCTTCTGCTGTATGCTAGCTGCTCCTGGGCTCTCTCCTATTCCATTGCTTTGCAAACTGTTTTTAGCTCTTTTCAAAATCATAGATCTGCTCAGAGACCAGTTTTCAGCTGTAGCTAGGGTTTCAGCTTTTTGGTTAGGCAGGAAAGGGCAGGTGCATGAGCTGAAGACATGAGCTCTAGCCTTATTCTTATTCCAGCCATAACTGGAAGTCTCTTTTGCTTCACTCTGCCTTCCCAAAAACAAGGTGCATGTCTTTATTTGGGAGCTTATATGGTATGCAAGAAAACAGGGTACTGTTGTTGTAACCTGAAGTGCTTTATGGGCTTCCCTGAAAAATATTGGAGTACACTGGACTTTACTTGTATGTGCAGAGGATAAGTGCATAATTCACTTAATTATACAATATGATACCAATTCCTACTTTTTGCCTATTGCTTCCACTGTAACAAACATTGCTTAAATGCATAAACTGCTTAAGTACATAGGAACTCTTCAGCCTTTCTGTTTGCTTTGCAATGTAATTGTATGTAACTGGTTATGCCTACTTGTACGTAATTGGTGACACTGAGTAGGAGCCATCAATTTCAAGGCTTTAGAAAACAGCTTTGTACTGTCAGTTTCAAGGCAACTCTTAGAGGTGTATCTGTTCTGAGAAGCAGATTAAGGAGCTCTAATGAGATGCAAAAAAGCTTTGTGCAGGGTGTTCTTGTACTCAATAAGCATTGTTAGTGAAAAATTGGTAAGATCCCATTTAAAATATTGTGTGTTGTTCTGGTCACTAAGCTTAAAAAATAAATTGGAATACGTTCAAAGAAGGACCTCTAGGATGTTTAAAGGAATGGAAACTTACCTAGGAAAGGAAGGAGTAGGCCTGTATAGCTTAATAAAAAAGTTTGGTAATGGATATGATGATCCTTTGCACGCATTTGTCGGATGAATATTGGGGAGGGAGAAAAGCTTTTTAGATTGATAATGGGTTTGAATCACATCTCTGGTAGTTATGCCCAGTCCCAGTTTTTTCTCTAGCAATATTGGAGTTACTCAAATTCCATATTCCCTTCTGGTGAAACTGATTAACGTGGAATTCCATTGATCCCATTGCAAGACTTGAACTTCTGACAAAAACATAGCCTAAATAATTCCCTTTCAGCTTCTTGCAGGCTGGTGCGTGCGTGTGTGCGTGCGCGCGCGTGCAGGCTGGTGTGTGTGTGTGATAAAGCAGTTAGCTCTCAAATTGTTTTTGAGCTTTACCAACTGGAAAAATCATTGGGTAGTCCAAAGATAGTTTTTAAAAAGAAGGGAAAGAAACCACTCTATGGCTTGTTGTTTCTCATACTGCAGTGGGAAAGAATGCCTTACGTGGAAAATCGTTCATTGAAGTTGGTGCTAATTTTGTTTAGATTAGTTTCGGTATTGGTGGCAGAAAGCAGTTTGCAGAATTGCTTGGTAGTTGTTGCCTGCAACTGTGGTTACTACAACACTTGTAAATATCTGTAAGTAGATAACAAAACTTAAGGCAGAAGTGAATTTTTAAAAACATATTTTAAAACTTCGTGTATGCAGATATTTGGAAAAATCATGCTGTTGCATTTTTACAGTGCCCTAAATCAAAGGACTCTCAAACGATTTTGCAAGCATTAAGGAATTATTCCTCACAACAGGGTACAGCAATTGAGACCAACATTTTACAAACATGCTTAAAATTGAACACCCAAATCCATTTAGGTCCTGGGATAAAGGTGACTGGATTGTCAGAGGTGTTAATGTCTTCTATCTCTAATAAATGGATAAATTACAAGTACAAATCTAACATATCCATGCAAATGTCATTCTGTTTCTGTCACCAATGCTGAGACGAGATCCTAATCCCACAGAAGTCAATAGTCAACATCCACTTATTTTAATGGAGCAAGATATGACCCCTTTCTAGGAAATTATCTTTTCATTCATTGGATGATTGAGGTCAATGGCAGGTTTGCAACTATTTCATTGGCTTTTATTGATTAATATCAGTCTTGGTATCATTGTAGCCTACAAGCTTTGAATTCCAGATATTGTGTAAACAGGAGCATCTAAAAATATTGATCTTGGAGTTATGGATTATGTTGTATTGTATGATTTTACAGAACCAAGCACAGTGGACTTCAACCCAACTGTAATAGAAAAAAACATTATTAATTGCAGTCAGATGATTATTGAGAATATTGGAAATAAAACCTATTTGTTTCTTCAGCAGAAGTATCTGTACAAAACATGAAAATAAGAAACTAATTCTAAAGAAAATATGACACACATCTAATTTGAACATGTACAATGTTTTGAAAGAGAAAGCAGGAATTTTTTTTTTTAACTTGACTTCCTGATCTCAATTGATAAAGAGTAGCCTGTAGGAGAAACATAGTACTTGCATTTAAATTTTGCACTTGAAACCTGCTTGTACTGTAAAGAGTGGCTTTCCTTTAGTTTCAGTTTTTGGAACATTTCAGCTATATAACTCTTGGTTTTTATAACCAGGAAGTCTTACAAATTCATGCTTAGTAAGGAACAGAATCTCACAGTTGGGTTTTTTTTTGTTTGTTTGTTTGTTTTTTAATGTTGTAAAATTATTTTTTATGTATTTCAATATCTTCTTGCCAACCTATTTTACTAACTTTATTTATTTACATCAGTTTAACTGGATACATTTACTGGATTTGATTTTCTTCATGAAGTGAACTGAACAGGATCCAGAATATAACAGTGCTATAAAGCTGTAGATATGTCTGCAACATGTAACAAAAGTCTGTCTTCAGACCCAATTTCAGCACCAACTTTTTCAGTGGGGACTTTGGCATTACTAGGTATTCTTATGGTGATGGTAATCCTTATTACAGCCCTTGGAAATGCCTTGGTCATCCTGGCTTTTGTTGTGGACAGAAATCTGAGACATCGGAGTAATTATTTCTTTCTTAATCTTGCAATTTCTGACTTTATAGTAGGTAAGTTGTTGCCATGAAGGAATGTAATCTTTCTTTTAACAGTATTTTTAAGACAAGGTAAGATTTATATTGCTTTTTTTTTCTTTTTACATTAATATTGAAGATCTGGTTTGTTACATGTCGTGATTGAGTTTTATTTACCTTTAAAATTCTTCCCCTTATATTGTCAGACTGAACAGAGTATGCATTCGCTAGTAGATCATGTATATGTTGCAAATGTCTTTTATCTATTTATTGAACTACAGGCTGACAGTTAAACTAGTAAGCCAACTAGCTGTAACCAGTCAGTGTTTTCAAGCATTCTGTGTGCCAATGTGTCTTCTCATATGGGCTTCTGTGAAGAATAGAAAATTAATTACTTGTGTGGTTTGATCATTTGGTGCGAGTATGTAATGCTTTTAAATAAGCATTAACATAAGATCAGCAATGAATTTCTGGATGATTAAAGCATAACCTCAGCTACTATTCCGAGGCATTTATGACTGATGATCTTGAGTGTAAGTATAACAACCCCTAAGACGGCATGGGATAATGCAGTTATCATAGAACAGAATTGATACTAGGGCAGTAATGAGCTAGTAGTAGTAAACAAGTGAACTAGTCTTTCCTTCTCTGAGCAAAGGATTTTTTTTAAGGTCTCACAGTGGTCATGAGCAACCTTCTGGCCACAGATGCTTTATTCCCAATGGACTCCATGGAATGATGGCAAATGTAAGAGATTTCAAAGATAAGGAAAAGAGCATACTAAGCATTCCAACAGCAGTATGTTGCTCCTAAATATTTCACAGCAGGTACATCTACATAGACATGTACTGCACATTTGACTAATTAAATGCGCAGTAAACATCTTGGCAGCTATATGCCTCTGTTAGGGCGCACAAAGCTAATAAACTCCATAGTAGTGAAGTACTTGTAAATACAAATGCTACCCTGTGTGGAGTTTTTTTGTGTGAAGTAGCAGTGTAGACGCTGCCCTAGCTGGCTGGGGCACGAAGGTGCTTCAGTGCATTTAACCAATGTATTCTATCTTTTTACCAAGTTAAAGAGGATTAAGATCAGTGGGAAAAAGTGGCCTGAATATGCTTAATACACTATATGATCTCTTAATCTTTTACTGGTACGGTTAAGAAAATTGTTGAAAATGTTTACATGGATATTGAAGTTGCAATACGCTTCTACAATTAGTACTTCTGGAGTTGTAGTAGATGCTGTTATCACACGCATTTAAAGCGTGATGACTCCAGTCATTTAGCACAGATTGAGGATTTTAAAAATGTGGCTAAAGACATCTCAGCTACTCCTTCAAGTTGTGATACAAGTCTGGACTATTGTACTAAAAGTCAGTACTATAATGTATTGGCAAGAAAATGAACTGAGCATAAAAACCCATGCTAAAACCTAGTGCACAGGAATCCCTTTGGATTTCATGAGAATACAAGAACTTCAGCCTCTACAATTCTATTAGTTTCTATTTACATTGTTTTAATTTCTTACCATGTTGTCTTGTGCTCACATTTGCACCAGCTGCAATCCTGATGATAATTTCTGGATTATGTTCTTGTTATTTCCTCCCACAGGTGCATTCTGCGTCCCTCTATATATCCCGTATATCCTGACAGGCAAGTGGCCATTTGGAAGAGGCCTCTGCAAACTCTGGCTTGTTGTTGATTATCTAATGTGCACAGCTTCAGTATTTAACATTGTCCTGATAAGCTATGATCGGTTTCTGTCAGTTACTAAAGCTGTAAGTATAAGATTCCTAGTTAGCCTTGTGTGCCTACTGAGGTTTATATATAGCTTTGTGTAGCAGTAATGGTCAACAGCTAAGTATTAACCATTTCATCCATAGATTTGAAAGCACTTTACTAAGAAGGATAAGAAAATATAAAAGATTTGCTTTAGGTTGGTGAAACTTAACCTTCCAGTCCTGCAGGCTGGGTAAGTAGTGCAGGGCCAGTTGGGCTGTGCTTGGAACAGGGCTTTTTTGGCAGTTTTCTGGCTGCTGTGGCACAGGACTGAGGAGCAGGGAGAATATTTTTCCAAAGTTCCCAAGTAGTAAAAAGGAGTGCAGAGTGGTATTGGGATGAAGGGCTGAGGAAGCACAGGGATAATGTGGTAGAGTTGAATAGGATGAATTGGAAGTGGGATGTGGGGTGGATACTGGGCCTGTGAAGAGTTGCTGAGGTGTGGTAGAGGAGACCAAGACAAGGAGCTGAATGGAGAGAAGGGAGGAAACTGGGACTCAGAGATGAATACAAGATGGGGGTTGCAAGGGACAACTAACTGAGTCTGGGACAGGGAACTGAAGGAGAGCAGGTAGCATGCTGGGATGATCCTGTTTTGAGTAGGAGATTGGACTAGATGACCTCCTGAGGTCCCTTCCAACCCTAATTTTCTATGATTCTATGATCCACTCCATAAAAAAACAGACTGGTGGACAGTGGATATGAGAGTCTATAACTAGCAGCATTTACTTTTCTCTGAACCTGCAAGAGAATATAAGATCCCAGAATCTCACTCTTCCTTTGTTGTTGGTATATATCTAGGGATCTACCTAAATTGTTCTGAGGTGAAAGCAAAATCATGGGCCACAAACAGCCCATGGCACCATTTTCATGGGTTTTTCATGGCGGCCTCCCCTGCCACTCATTAGCTGACAGCCCTGCCCCTCACCACTGATTGGCCAAGAGGTGGTCCATCATGTGCCCCATACCTTTGCTGCTGATTGGGGGGTGGGGGGGCAGGGCCATGTGATGGGCAGTCCTCTTGGTCAGTCAGTAGTGGGAGGTAGCCTGCATCTTTGCTGCTTGCTTTCATGCTGGCAGTTCCCCGCCCCTCACCCCCAGCTGACTGAGGCTGGGCTGCAGCAACCCTGAGGACAACTGGAGAGCCAGCATTTTATTTTTAATAAGCCCCCCCCCCGGAGATTCCTTGCCATAATTGTCAGGATCACCATTTTTGCAGGGTTTGCAGAAACTCTTCACGGTTTTTGTGAAAAGCACAAAATCACAAATAGGGTAGATCCATATTTATATCTGTGAAGACTAGTGGCAAAATATGTGTCATCTTCTGTTAGTGATTGGTGTACTGGATTAGAGGCAACCCACTAAAATGCCCAATTTGTATCTCTGTTAGCTCCTACCCCATATGTCTGTGTGGTAGACTTTAGTAGGGCTGACCCTGTTGATGACCCATATGGCTGTCAATATTTTGATGAGTTTCTGGGGTTTTATAAGCTGTCTTTTTCAAAAGACCTAGGGAATTGAATACAACATTGCTAGATATAAGAAACAAGATTTCAAAGTGAAGCACTCTAAATTTAGGAAAAGCCAAATTAAAGACTGCCTGTGTAACTTCACTTAAGCACCTTGGAAATAGGCATAATGATAGAGTCTGTAATTGCATAATCACATGCTATTTTTCCACAGGGCCTCTGCCTTGTGCAGCACTGACAGTGGATGGTATTTAGGGTACTATGGCAAAGGAGATTTGTGATGGGTGGTGATGAAATGAAGCCATTTCCTGTTATTTATTAATCTGAGGTGCATGGTTTATTCCTCACAGATGTCAAGGATTTTTAAGCAGGATTTTTAAGTCCAGGGCACTTGAATATAAGATGATCCCAATTATAAGATGACCCTACCAACAATTAGATTCTATCTAGAAAAAATATATAAATTTGTTATATTTTTTTAGATATAGAATCTAATTATTGGGAGCTTGTCTTGAATTTGTCTCCCTCCCAGTGCTACAGCAGGGAAAATAAAACTGGAAGGTCAGGTGGCCCTTTTGCCATCTTCTTCCCCAATGTTTGCCCCTGTAGCTTCTTCCCTTCACTTCTGTCAGACTGTACTTTCCCTGAGCATGTGGAAGTTAGGGGCAGATTTGAAAACACTGACTTTGCAAGTAGGCCATTTATTCCGGGTACCTATAAACTTAGCTCTTTCAGAACTGGTGCACTTTTTTTGAAACTGCCACAAGTTTTAGCACAGGTACTCCATAAATATACATTTGAGCAGCATTTTGGCACCTACTTATATTTAGTACATGATTTTTTGAAATGTTGTGTCTTGGGCCAAATCAGCCAAATTGATTCCTAATTCTGTTGGCTGAACAGAGCTGAATTGTTCAAGCCTGTGGCGCTGCCATTGCCAAAGAATCCTACGTACCAGACTCTTCAGCCTGGGGCTTCAGACACTTTCAAATCCATGGCAAGTATCCTACATGTAGACCCCAAACCCAGAGGCCTTGGAATTCAGATGTCCCCTAATCTCGCTTGCCCCTAGTCTTATGGTGGGCGAAATACGGTCTGCAGGCCGGATTTGGCCTATGGTTGTTCTTTGTCTGGACCACAGAGGGTCCCTTGGTCCTCTGACCCAGGCACAGTCCAGCTGTGGTGCATCCTGCTGCCCCCTGGGCATGCAGCAGGCTGGGGTGGCTCTGCAGCTGGACTATCTTCCTAGGCAGCCCAGGGGGAGGCGGCTCCTGGCTGCCACTGCTGCTAGCCCCAGACCTGTGGTACCAGTGGGGACCTGCGTCTCACAGCCTCAACCCCGTGTGCCCCACCTGCTCTGGGCTTTCCTGTCCAGGCTGAGCAGCAGTGATGTCACAGAAGCTGTTGCTCAGTGTGGGGGGGAAATGGTTCCTCCTGCTGCTGGCAGTTCCATGCTGCAGCTGCCTATGGAGCCTGCGCTGGGCTGCCCGGCGGCTGCTCTGCACTGGTACTGTTCTGGGCTGCTCAGCGGGGCAGTGGTGGCAGCACAGAGCAGCTGCAGAGCAGCCTGGTGTGGGCTTCAGGCAGCTGCAGCAGGAAACTGCCGGCAGCGGGAGGGGTCGCATTCCCTCCATGCTGAGCAACAGCTTTTATGCCACACCGCTGCTGCTCAGCCTGGATGGGCAAGCCTGAAGTAGGTGCAGGGGGCACAGGGTTGGGGCTGTGTGGCATGGGTTCCTGCTGGTACTATGGGGCTGGGGACAGTGGCAGTGGCAGCCGGAAGGAGCCACCTGGCCCCATACGCACCTGCGTGCATGCCTTTGGCGGGAGTCCTGCTCACTGCTATGTGCACACACCCCACCACACACACACCCACACCCCTCCCATGCACACTCCATACCCAGCCTCCTCCTCTGCAACCCCCCATATCCACCCATCCACACACCACCACAGCCACCCCCGCATGCACACACCCACAGCCCCCACAAGCCCCATAAACAACCCTTCATACCCTGCTCCCCACACTCCCCTACAATATACAAGAGTAAGACTTAATTTTGAGCTATTATGCAGTCACCTCTCTATACACCACATAAACTCACACAAATCAGGACAAAAATATTTTTAGAAATAAAATATGCTGTTGTCAGTGTTTGATTTTTAGTATATTTGTTTTTTTCCAGTTCTAAAATGTCTACTCCCTTCCCAAAAGGAGTACTTCTGGGGGCGAGGGGAGGAACTTCTATTGGCAAAGGTCAGGGGTTAGGAGGTGGGACTTCTGGTCCCAAGATGGTAACCAGAGGGGCGGGGCACCCGTCAAGGAGCGGGCTACCCTTGTGGCCCTTGACAGCTTGCAAAAACTCATTAAGCAGCCCTTCACCTGAAATAATTGCCCGCCCCTGCCCTAGCCAAAAGGCCAAAGGAGCAAGCTAGAAGGAAAGCCCAAGAGCAGTCCTCCCATCACTATAAATTGCAGTCATGATCCCCATCACTATAAATTGCACAGTCATGATCCTTGTATTTGGAGGCATTTGTGGATTGTCTCAGTGGTCAACCTGCCCACAGTGCAACCAACTTCACTTTTTAACTACACCAGGCTATTCGAGGCCAGGAAGAAGGGTATCTCGATTATGCCTGATAGTTGTCCAAAGTCAAAAAGGTTCATGATGTACCATGTAGTTCATTGGGCTGGGTCCCAGAAGAGTCAACAGCATTTCAAGCCATGGTGACCCCACAGCTCAACACTGCTCAGTATGCATGTGTGCTCCACAAAAGATCCATGTGCTAGTTTTCCCCCCACCCCCTGCATGACTGGAACCGTGTGTTTTTTGTCATGAGTCCTGGGACCCTTCCAAAATTTATATACAGATGAGGCATAGGGCAAGCTGGTCTGGCTTCACCTTATGGAGGACAAGGCCACACTAATGATATGTGACAGACTGAGAGATGGGGCAACAGAGGGAGTCTGGGGAGCACTGCTTGGGGTCCAATTTGGTGATGTTTGCCAGGCATTTAAGGCTGGTGGGGAAACAGGAATTCTTGAAATTTGGATAGAAAGGTACAGCTCAGCTATGGGAGTGAAGAGGACGTAAAAATGTGAGGTTTTCTTGTATATGAATGTAAAATGAAAGGCTTTTTCCTCCATGCTGACTTGGGGGGAAAACCGTCATCTCATATTCAAGTAAATACATTAATAAAAATTTCCCTGGCTTTATAGAAGCATGAGTGTTCTGGACAACAAGAGACTTAAAGTACACATTTTGTCTTAGGGTTCCAGAAGTTGCTTTACAAAATACTTACACTGGTTTCTAAAAGATCTCTCAAGGTGGACTTTTCATTCTGCTTTTAGGTGTCTTACAGAACTAACCCAGGAATGACATCAAAAGCTATTGCAATGATGGTGGCAATTTGGGTGTTTGCATTCTTACTCTATGGCCCAGCAATTATCATTTGGGAATATGTGGTTGGCTGCAGCATTGTACCTGATGACGAATGTTATGCTGAATTTGTCTACAACTGGCATCTTCTTTTGGGCACTTCAACCTTTGAGTTCTTAATACCTTTAATCTCAGTGGCCTACTTCAATATACAAATCTTCCGCAGCATCCAGAATCGCCTGAGAAAAATTCCCCAAGAGCTTTCTGAGTCTCCAAAGAGCAAGAGCCAAGTATGGTGGCTTTGTTGCTTGTTGAAGGAAGATGCATCTTTTTCTGATTCTGAAACAGAGAAGAGTTGTTCTACTTCAGGGTCACAGAGGCACTTGTCAACGTCTGACAGACCAAGACCATCACACTTACATTCCCATCCCTCTGAAACTGATTCTATGGGACCTTTCAAAGTGAAGACTGGCCCCAAACTGCAAAGAGACAAAAAAATTGCAAAGTCACTTGCCATAATTGTTTGCATCTTTGTCCTTTGCTGGGCACCATATTCATTGCTCATGATTATTTTTGCAACCTGCAATGGAAATTGCATCAACAAATACTTGTATGAAATTTCATTTTGGCTTTTGTGGCTCAATTCTTCTGTGAATCCTTTTCTCTATCCTCTCTGTCATATTAAGTTTCGGAATGCTTTCAGAAAAATATTGTGCCCCTATAAGCATGCAGTATCATCGCCACGGCAATCAGTTTCTTTTTAAGAAGCAAAACTAAAAGATTAATAGAAGCTCCCCTGTTTGATGTTAGTTAAACTTGTATTATCTCCGGTAATACTGTAGATCCATATTTTTATTGAGGGCATTAGTTAATACAATAAATGTGTGAATTTGCCACGAGTTCAGTAATTTTCAGGACACCAATTACAATGTACTTCCTACACAATGAAAATTACTTGTATTTTTGTAATAGGTCAGAATGATCATAAATTTCTCGGACTGATCCAGTTTCCAAAATGTTAGTGGTTTCAGTTATGAATTTCAAAGATCTGGTACTAAATTTATCAGTGATCAGACATAACTCCTTTGAATTCAATGTAGGTTCTTCCTTTTATACTGACAATTAAATAGAGGTTGGTAAATCAGTATGAAAGCAAGAAGCAAACATCAGATGTGGAATACAGTGTATTTCCATGTGATTTTGTACATTTTTATTTAGTGCAAAGTTATGCCATGTATTATTATAACATTATTACATAATCTTTTTAAAAGGCTCTTCGAGCTTCTAGGCTTCTCCACAAAGAAACCTCAGGACTGGTTTGATGAGAGTAATAAGGAAATTTAAGCTCTCATTAACAGAAAAAGTCTCCTTTTTCTGCTTTCCACTTTCAGAGTTTGGCAGAATGACATCAACTCCAAACAGAAGCAAGACACTTGCTGCCACATTTAAAGCTGATACCCACAGTAAAATCTGAGAGCAAATGAACAAATGGTGGGAGGACAAAGCAAAAGAGCTGCAAAAGTTTGCAGACAGCCACAATATGTGTAGTTTCTTCAGTGTGACCAAAGCTGTCTATGGGCCAAGCACACAAAGGGACTTCCCTGTGAGTTCTGAGGATGGAACAACACTATGTAAAGAGAGCTCCACCATCAATGCACAGTGGAAAGAACATGTTCAAGAGGTTCTGAACTGATCTTCTAATGTCAAAGATAAGACCACCAAAGCCATTCCACAGCACCCAATTAAGGACAACCTTGCAGATTCACCAGGCTATCAAGAGGCCTTGAAAGCCAATGAGCAGGCTGTCATTCTTGAATCAAAGGATTGCTGCTGCCCAGGAGCTGCTGCTGCTGCCACTCCTGCTTAGTAATGGATGTTGATTGTCCATTGGGATATCCCTATTAAGAGCATTATGATATGAAGCCTTGTACCTATCCAATATATATAGTACTCGAGTTGCTGGAAATATTTAAAGCAGACCGCCAGACTGGTGGACCAGAAGGTCCTGCTAAGTGGTGTGTAGATTTCTCTAGACTTTCCCTTTTCAATTAAAATTTGAAGATGAGAATGCATAGTGGCTTATACCTAATTTTAAGAGATGACAGTAGTCTTCTGGTCTAAAATGGTTGGAAACCACTGATCTAAAGCATAGCAGAGAATAAAACATAAGCATGTATTATAACCAGCTGTCTTCTTTAATTGACACATTTATCAGTTTTTCACAAAGATTAGCTCTGATTCATTTCAAGATGGTTTTTTAAATTGAAAAAAGATACTTCCCTGCACAAAGAAATACTTTTGCTTTGGCATCAGGGGCAAACAAATGTTGGTAAGCAATGCTTTTGAAAATGTGAAGAGCTCAACATGTTTAGTTTATCAAAAAGATGAATGAGTGACTTGATTGTGGTGTAAAATTACTTTTCTGTGGTGGAGGTACAGGACACTAAAGGGTTAATCTCCCTTTGAGGCCTTCGCATTGAGAATGGAAGGTATGTTTTAGTCCAATGATTCTTAACCAAGGTGGCAAGATCTTCTCAAGGGTGATGCTGGTTGCCACACACTGCCACACAATGCTAGCACCATTAGGTTGCTAGCATGATTCCCAAGAAAAACACAGATTTCAAATAGAAATCCATAGTTAAAGTATTCCTGAGTTCTTTGCAACAGAAAAACTGCTCTATTATTTTTATGTAGTGAAAAAGTATGAAAACCAAGAGCTGGTATTTTCTGAGGGGTGCGGCAAATCTATCCAAGAGTGCCTGGACTCTAAAAAGATTGAGAACTACTGCTTTAGTTGATTCCAAGCTCTCAGGCTGAATACAGGATGAAGTGGGTGATATTCTGTAGCTTTTATTGTACAAGAGTTCTGATAATCAATTCTGGCATTTCATGATTTATGAAACAGGATTCTCGCATGTTAAGACTGAGAAATTGTGTGATCATATTGTTGTAACCCTCATTTTTTCTCATTTTCCTTTCTACTTTTTTTTTTTAACCTCCACTTGTCATGTTTATGTCTAATATTAGTCTGTTATCCCTCCCGGGCAGAGATGATAATGGGTTAAATCCATGAATGGATTAAGGGATGTATTTGGTAGCCATGTTGATCTGAGGCAAAAAGAAATGCAAAACACTATAATTTTTTCGCAAATTTTTGTTGTTGTTGCAATTTCTTAGTTGGTCTAATAAAAGGTATCATCTCTGAACCAAGAGTTGTTGAGTTTTTTGCATTTCTGAATGGATTTAGGCATTGGAATATCTAACATTTAGAAAGCCTGTTAGCTAGTGGAATCCACAATCCCCAGTCAAGCATTTCGTCCATGTACAATGTCTAAGGGTAGAATTTACTGAGGTCAGCAAAGCATGGAGCTGTCTAAAGTAGCCAAAAGAAAATGGCTAGGAGAAGGCTAGTGTTCAAGCTCTTTCCTCTCAGGGAGTTAGGTATCTAAGTATGAGGTGAAGAAAGAAGCTTCCTTCCTTCCGAGATAAGAGCTGTGCTTTCTCTCTTAGCTGGTTCAAAACTTGAAAAAAAAAAAAAAAAAAAAAAA